TGCAACACTTGGGCACCTTTAATGAGGAAACGTTTCGCAACACAGTGTTTCCTCAGTCCAATACCAAGAAGAATGGTGAAGATCAGAAGGAGTTTAAACTGATCAGTCCCACAGCCTACTTACCTCAAACTACTCCTGATCTTCACTATTCTTCTCTGTATAGGACTGATGAAGCTACTGTGTTTCGAAACGTTTTCTCAAAGCTACCCAATTGTTGTCCATATGTTTAATTCATCATCTTGTCTATTCTCTGAACTATTCGTCTACACTGATTCATTTTTTTCCATTTATTTAACTCTACCACAACTGCTACATTCAGTTTATCATCAGTGTCCCTCTACCTTCAAGAAGGAACTCTCATACCATCATTACATTCTATTGTACTGTATTTTCCGGCATATAAGACGCAGTTTTTTCTAACAGTCTTGGAAAATCAGCCTGCGTCTTATATGCTCAAGGTCAGGGTTAAGCTTTGCGTTACAACTTTTTTTGAAACATCGTCTTATATGCTTTTGCGCCTTATATGCTCGTGCGTCTTATATGCCGGAAAAATGGGTATTTATGACGTCATTGCAGCAGCGTTCTCTCCGACGTGATGATATTCGTTTGCTTTAAAACTGTTGTTGTTACTAAGTTGACTAGTTCTTGGTATGTGGTGAGTCCAGCCACACCACTGTGATGACTTCACTTCTCCCTTAACAACAGTGGTGAGTCCAGCCACACCACTGTGATGACTTCACTTCTCCCTTAACAACAGTGGTGAGTCCAGCCACACCACTGTGATGACTTCACTTCTCCCTTAACAACAGTGGTGAGTCCAGCCACACCACTATGATGACTTCACTTCTCCCTTAACAACAGTGGTGAGTCCAGCCACACCACTGTGATGACTTCACTTCTCCCTCAACAACAGTGGTGAGTCCAGCCACACCACTATGATGACTTCACTTCTCCCTTAACAACAGTGGTGAGTCCAGCCACACCACTGTGATGACTTCACTTCTCCCTTAACAACAGTGGTGAGTCCAGCCACACCACTGTGATGACTTCACTTCTCCCTTAACAACAGTGGTGAGTCCAGCCACACCACTGTGATGACTTCACTTCTCCCTTAACAACAGTGGTGAGAGGGAAGGATTTTAGAGCTCTCTTGCATTTTCACTTATAAACTGTATAATTCTTTCAGGCCTATAACACAGATAACACAGTTACACACATGGCCAGTGGCGGCTGGTGTGGGAGTGCTGCGGAACTGCAGCACCCCCACACCAGCCGCCATTGCCCACACGACCATTCCATAAATAACTTATTGGTGTATAATTTTTGTGTCATCAATGTTTTAATCAATGTTCTTGGTGATTTTTCCCCATAATTAATAAAGAGTAATTAAAATGTTCAGTATTTGTACTATGTTTTAGGAAATATAATTAGCTACATTGATATATATATATATATATATATATATATATATATATATATATATATATATATATATATATATATATATATATATATATATGTATGTATGTATATATAATGTCGTGCCGAATATTTAAAACTGGTCAATTAGCAAGAACTCATTTAAAATTAAGTCCTTTCTGAAATTTTCTCTTATACGTTTAAAGATATATTTTTTTTCATTAATGTTAATGTAAAAATTTATAATTTTGCACCAAAAGAATCTTAGAAAACTTACCTAACCTTATTATAACGAGAACAATTTATTTTAGCCTAACCCAACTAAATATATTTTAAATACGTTTACAATAATTTAATACTAAACAAACACAATCAAATATATTTTTTTCGTTAGGTTCAGAATGATTTGGGCGAAATTATTGCATACACAAATTTTCACTTGTCCTATATGGCAAGATGAGCGTTGCTATTTAAGCCAAGATCGCAAGTTCTGCCTATTCGGCACGACATATATATATATATATATATATATATATATATATATATATATATATATATATATATATATATATATATATATATATATATATATATGCAAGGAATTCGCGAGAGCATGCGAAATATACACAAACACTGATCTCTGGCTGAAGGAGACTCGCACCTACGAACCTTAGGACAAGGTACGCATTGTTCAAATCTCTAGTAAGGCTGATGCATGCAGGGGATGAGATGAAAAGCTGTAAGCCTTCTCCCTGAAAGCTGGCTGCCTTGGATCAAACGTGTAGCGCATGCTACACGCCAAGGTATTGTCCAGTGTGGGTAGATTGGTAAAGCACTGCGTACCTTGTCCTAAGGTTCGTAGGTTCGAGTCTCTTTCAGCCAGAGATCAGCGTTTCTATATATATATATATATATATATATATATATATATATATATATATATATATATATATATATATATATATATATATATTAGATTTTAGTTTTTGAGTGTATAGTTTTAGTTGTATCAATCTGAGCCGATTTAAAGGATATGTACAACATTTCGTATTAGCATTAATAGTCGTAAAAATCATATTGGCAACTAACTTCACATTGATGGATTAGAAAACCAGAATAGGTTTGAAGTGACCGATATTCACGATATTCATTGTGACCGATATTCACGATATTCATTGTGACCGATATTCACGATATTCATTGTGACCGATATTCACGATATTCATTGTGACCGATATTCACGATATTCATTGTGACCGATATTCACGATATTCATTGTGACCGATATTCACGATATTCATTGTGACCGATATTCACGATATTCATTGTGACCGATATTCACGATATTCATTGTGACCGATATTCACGATATTCATTGTGACCGATATTCACGATATTCATTGTGACCGATATTCACGATATTCATTGTGACCGATATTCACGATATTCATTGTGACCGATATTCACGATATTCATTGTGACCGATATTCACGATATTCATTGCGACCGATATTCACGATATTCATTGTGACCGATATTCACGATATTCATTGTGACCGATATTCACGATATTCATTGCGACCGATATTCACGATATTCGTTGTGACCGATATTCACGATATTCATTGTGACCGATATTCACGATATTCATTGTGACCGATATTCACGATATTCATTGTGACCGATATTCACGATATTCATTGTGACCGATATTCACGATATTCATTGTGACCGATATTCACGATATTCATTGCGACCGATATTCACGATATTCATTGTGACCGATATTCACGATATTCATTGTGACCGATATTCACGATATTCATTGTGACCGATATTCACGATATTCATTGTGACCGATATTCACGATATTCATTGTGACCGATATTCACGATATTCATTGCGACCGATATTCACGATATTCATTGTGACCGATATTCACGATATTCATTGTGACCGATATTCACGATATTCATTGCGACCGATATTCACGATATTCGTTGTGACCGATATTCACGATATTCATTGTGACCGATATTCACGATATTCATTGTGACCGATATTCACGATATTCATTGTGACCGATATTCACGATATTCATTGTGACCGATATTCACGATATTCATTGTGACCGATATTCACGATATTCAGTGCGACCGATATTCACGATATTCATTGTGACCGATATTCACGATATTCATTGTGACCGATATTCACGATATTCATTGTGACCGATATTCACGATATTCATTGTGACCGATATTCACGATATTCATTGCGACCGATATTCACGATATTCGTTGTGACCGATATTCACGATATTCATTGTGACCGATATTCACGATATTCATTGTGACCGATATTCACGATATTCATTGTGACCGATATTCACGATATTCATTGTGACCGATATTCACGATATTCATTGTGACCGATATTCACGATATTCATTGCGACCGATATTCACGATATTCATTGTGACCGATATTCACGATATTCATTGTGACCGATATTCACGATATTCATTGTGACCGATATTCACGATATTCATTGTGACCGATATTCACGATATTCATTGTGACCGATATTCACGATATTCATTGCGACCGATATTCACGATATTCATTGTGACCGATATTCACGATATTCATTGTGACCGATATTCACGATATTCATTGCGACCGATATTCACGATATTCATTGTGACCGATATTCACGATATTCATTGCGACCGATATTCACGATATTCATTGTGACCGATATTCACGATATTCATTGTGACCGATATTCACGATATTCATTGTGACCGATATTCACGATATTCATTGTGACCGATATTCACGATATTCATTGTGACCGATATTCACGATATTCATTGTGACCGATATTCACGATATTCATTGTGACCGATATTCACGATATTCATTGTGACCGATATTCACGATATTCATTGTGGCCGATATTCACGATATTCATTGTGACCGATATTCACGATATTCATTGCGACCGATATTCACGATATTCATTGTGACCGATATTCACGATATTCATTGTGACCGATATTCACGATATTCATTGCGACCGATATTCACGATATTCATTGTGACCGATATTCACGATATTCATTTCGACCGATATTCACGATATTCATTGTGACCGATATTCACGATATTCATTGCGACCGATATTCACGATATTCATTGTGACCGATATTCACGATATTCATTGCGACCGATATTCACGATATTCATTGCGACCGATATTCACGATATTCATTGTGACCGATATTCATTGTGACCGATATTCAATGTACGTTACCTGGAAGATCACTGTACATTAGTCACTGTTCTGGTGATGTATGTACAGAGGATCTGCTGCCTCGCCTACAAAAACTAGGAACGTTGCAAAAAATTGCAAAAAAAATACAAAGAGCACAAAACATTGCAAAATCACAACATAAACACTGCACAACACTACAAACACACAAAAGCCAGTACTAAAGCACTATGAAATTAATGACCCTGTGTAGTTGTTGTGGCTTAAGTGATAACGCAGCTGAGGCTGATTCTTGTGTGTGACAGTTCCTCCAGACGACCCTGTCATCCTGACCCAGCAGCAGGGAGGAGCACCAGTCTGGACCATGGTGGGTCCTTACAACGAGGGAGACACACTCTCTCTCACTTGTGAAGTCAGTGGAGGTAAGTCGCAAGAAATCACAATATCTCTTTTTCTGTCACTCTGTCTTTCTGTTTTTTTTTTCCTTTCTGTTACTCTTATTCCTCTACTCTCACCTCTGTTTCACTTGCCTCACTAGCAGGAAACAGGAAGTAGTGTTAAATAGTTAACTATCTGGGTGGAGAAACGTTATAATTAGGGTCCCCCAAGGGTTGGTACATTGCAAAGTCTTGTTTTAAATGTACTAAATCTATCTGGAGTTAGAATATGGAGACGTGCAAAGTCTGAAGATTACGTGAAATAGGGAGATGTGTGACGCCGGACACTGATTGTAGCCACACATCAGAGAACACATCAGAGAACACATCAGAGAACACATCAGAGAACACATCAGAGAACAGGTATGACTTGAACCCCATGTCAAGTGAGTTTAGGTAAAACCAACAAGCCAGTGCGTTAACCACTGATCTGTGAGTGTTATTCATCACCTGCCATCGATGATTTGTTTACAGTTGTGTTGTTACGATTTCGTGAGTCGTGGTTGTAACTAGTCAGTACAGTAGTGGAGTGAAGGCTTAGTCCATGTATTTTCTCAGGTTCGATTCCGATTACATTGAGTCTGACTTTGAGCAAAGACAGATAGAGCCGTTACTAGGATTGTTGAGAGAGAGAGAGAGAGAGAGAGAGAGAGAGAGAGAGAGCTGTACGAGTAACATGGAGTTAAAGTTGTAGTTTGTGGCGCCTGCTAACATTACTCCAGAGTGTGGATTGTACACACACACACACACACACACACACACACACACACACACACACAAAAAAAAAAAAAAAAAAAAAAAAAAAAAAAAAAAAAAAAAAAAAAAAAAAAAAAAAAATGGGTGGCCTTAGAGGACGGAAACCCAGAGATCTGGTGGACGAACCAGGGAGGAAAGACTGGGAGCTAGAGCTCCAAAAAAGGGAGGAAGAGTGGGGAAGGAAGATAGTAGAGCTTGGTAAGAAAATGGAGGAGTGGATAGCTGAAGAGTGCAGGAAGTGGGAAGTACAGGTCTTAGCAGCAGAAGCTAGGATACAGTGCTTAGAAGAGAAACTGCAAAGCCTGAAACAGATTAGAGAGACAAATGACAATTCAGGTGTGACATCAGGAAATTCAAAGTCAGGCGCAGACAAGGGGATGGTAAGCAACAACGGAGACATGCCGAGCATGAAGGCCCTATCAGACCCACGTGGGGCCAGGGAAAAGACGACGAGCACACTAAGATCAAACGACAGGTCCGAAAACAATGAAGGTATGCTATATGCAGAGATTCTAACAGCCAACTGCAGTAGCAAGGGACAGCTGGTCAGGAAAGACAGTCCACTGAGAATAGAAGTTTCAGATATGACAGGGACTGAAGGCAAGAACATGTCAATGGAAGGAAATAAAATGCCTCAGAGGAAGCAGATGGAGACTCAGTGGGAGGAGGAAAGGGCGAGGTCAGTTTTTGTGTACGGGCTCCAAGAAGCCAAGGGGGCCAACTTTGAAGAAATAAAACAGGAGGAGAAAAAAATGATTGAAGGCATCATGAAAACAATAGGGGAGGGCAATATGACCCAGGTGACAAATTTTCAGAGAATTGGGTGGTTTACGAGTGGAAGGATACGGCCTGTCAGAGTAACTTTCAAGGAAGAATCAGTTCGAACCAGGATTCTGCAAGAGAAAGCAAGACTGAGGGACAAAGAGGGGTACCAGAGAGTATACCTCGACCGCGACAGAACACAAGAAGAAAGGACTACACTGAAAGAGAGGGTACAGAGACGCAAGGAGGAACGAGAAGCAATGAAAATGAGCAGGACCCAGACACAGGAGGAAGGGCAAACACACCCCACAGAATCTCCCACCAAAAGACTCCACCCGCGACATTCCCAACGCAACTGAGCAACCTATACTACAACCCACTCACTGTTCCCTCTGCCACCAATCCCCATATCACAAACCTCACCCCAACAGCTGTCCCTTATGGGCATTCTGACCCCACCCCCATCAACACAAGCCCCACCTACACCACAGCCCCATATAGGCCCCCACCAAGGCTCTCGCTCCCCCAACCCCAATATTCTTGCATGACCACAATGATAGAAAAGAAACTAAAGGTTTGGTACACAAACGCGGATGGAATAATGAATAAACATGAGGAGTGGAATGAAAGAATCAGTGAAAAATCCCCAGACATCATAGCAGTCACAGAAACAAAACTCGCTGAGACAATAACAGACACAATCTTCCCAACAGGATATCAGATCCTGAGGAAAGATAGAAGGAGTAGAGGGGGAGGAGGGGTTGCACTGCTCATAAAACACCGATGGGGATTTGAGGAAATGGAAGGCATGGACATGATTGGAGAAAGAGACTACATTGTAGGTACAATTCAGTCCGGAGAACATAAAGTAGTCATTGGAGTGATGTATAACCCACCACAGAACTGCAGGAGGCCAAGAGAGGAGTACGAAGTAAACAACAGGGTGATGGTGGACACACTGGCTGAGGTGGCAAGAAGAGCTCACTCGAGCAGAGCAAAGTTACTGGTAATGGGCGATTTCAACCACAGGGAGATCGACTGGGAAAACCTGGAGCCACATGGGGGTCCCGAAACATGGAGAGCCAAGATGATGGATGTGGTACTTGAAAACCTCATGCATCAACATGTCAGGGACACAACCAGAGAGAGAGGGGAGGATGAGCCAGCAAGACTGGATCTTGTGTTCACCCTGAGCAGTTCAGACATTGAGGACATCACTTATGAGAGGCCCCTTGGAGCTAGCGATCATGGGTTCTGAGTTTTGACTATATAGTAGAGTTACAAGTGGAGAAGGTAACAGGAACTGAAGGGGAAAGGCCAAACTATAAAAGGGGGGACTACACAGGTATGAGAAACTTCCTGCAGGAGGTTCAGTGGGACAGAGAAATGGTAGGAAAATCAGTAAACGAGATGATGGAATATGTGGCAGCAAAGTGCAAGGAGGCAGAGGAAAGTTTTGTTCCCAAGGGAAACGGAAATAATAGGAAGACCAAAACGAGTCCTTGGTTTACCCGAAGGTGTAGGGAGGCAAAAACTAAGTGCAACAGAGAATGGAAAAGGTACAGGAGGCATAGGACCCAGGAAAACAAGGAGATTAGTAGAAGAGCCAGAAACGAGTATGCACAGATAAGGAGGGAGGCCCAGCGACAGTATGAAAACGACATAGCATCGAAAGTCAAATCTGACCCGAAACTGCTGTATAGCCACATTAGGAGGAAGACAACAGTCAAGGACCAGGTGATAAGGCTGAGGAAAGAAGGTGGAGAACTCACAAGAAACGATCAAGAGGTATGTGAGGAGCTCAACACGAGATTTAAGGAAGTATTTACAGTAGAGACAGGAAGGACTCTGGGGGGACAGACCAGATGGGGACACCAGCAAGGAATACACCAACAAGTGTTGGACGACATACATACAGATGAGGAGGAGGTGAAGAAACTGCTAAGGGACATCGATACCTCAAAGGCAATGGGACCAGACAACATCTCCCCGTGGGTCCTTAGAGAGGGAGCAGATATGTTGTGCGTGCCACTTACCACAATCTTCAACACATCCCTGGAAACTGGGCAACTACCTGAAGTATGGAAGACGGCAAATGTAGTTCCCATTTTTAAAAAAGGAGACAGAAAAGAGGCACTAAACTATAGACCTGTGTCATTGACGTGTATAGTATGCAAAATTATGGAGAAGATTATCAGGAGGAGAGTGGTGGAGCACCTGGAACGGAACAGGAGTATAAATGCCAACCAGCACGGATTCACGGAAGGCAAATCCTGTGTCACAAACCTTCTGGAGTTTTATGATAAAATAACAGAAGTAAGACAAGAGAGAGAGGGGTGGGTTGATTGCATCTTCTTGGACTGCAAGAAGGCCTTTGACACAGTTCTCACAAGAGATTAGTGCAGAAGCTAGAGCATCAGGCGCATATAACAGGAAGGGCACTGCAATGGATCAGAGAATACCTGACAGGGAGGCAACAACGAGTCATGGTACGTAATGATGTATCACAGTGGGCACCTGTGACGAGCGGGGTCCCACAGGGGTCGGTCCTAGGACCAGTGCTATTTTTGGTATATGTGAACGACATGACGGAAGGGTTAGACTCAGAAGTGTCCCTGTTTGCAGATGATGTGAAGTTAATGAGGAGAATTAAATCTGATGAGGACAGGCAGGACTTCAAAGAGACCTGGACAGACTGGACACCTGGTCCAGCAAATGGCTTCTCGAATTTAATCCTGCCAAATGCAAAGTCATGAAGATGGGGGAGGGGCACAGAAGACCACAGACAGAGTATAGGCTAGGTGGCCAAAGACTGCAAACCTCACTCAAGGAGAAAGATCTTGGGGTGAGTATAACACCGAGCATGTCTCCGGAAGCACACATCAATCAGATAACTGCTGCAGCATATGGGCGCCTGGCAAACCTGAGAACAGCATTCCGATACCTTAGTAAGGAATCATTCAAGACACTGTACACCGTGTATGTCAGGCCCATACTGGAGTATGCAGCACCTGTTTGGAACCCGCACTTGATAAAGCACGTCAAGAAACTAGAGAAAGTACAAAGGTTTGCGACAAGGTTAGTTCCAGAGCTAAGGGGAATGTCCTATGAGGAAGATTAAGGGAAATCGGCCTGACCACACTGGAGGACAGGAGGGTCAGGGGAGACATGATAACGACATATAAAATACTGCGTGGAATAGACAAGGTGGACAAAGACAGGATGTTCCAGGGAGGGGACACAGAAACAAGAAAGAGGCCACAATTGGAAGTTGAAGACACAAATGAGTCAGAGAGATAGTAGGAAGTATTTCTTCAGTCATAGAGTTGTAAGGCAGTGGAATAGCCTAGAAAATGACGTAGTGGAGGCAGGAACCATACACAGTTTTAAGACGAGGTTTGATAAAGCTCATGGAGCGGGGAGAGAGAGGGCCTAGTAGCAACCGGTGAAGAGGCGGGGCCAGGAGCTAGGACTCGACCCCTGCAACCACAAATAGGTGAGTACAAATAGGTGAGTACACACACACGCACACACACGCACACACACACACACACACACACACACACACACACACACACACACACACACACACACACACACACACACACATGCTGAGAGGAATTGACAAGGTGGACAAAGACAGGATGTTCCAGAGATGGGACACAGTAACAAGGGGACACAGTTGGAAGTTGAAGACACAGATGAATCACAGGGATGTTAGGAAGTATTTCTTCAGCCACAGAGTAGTCAGGAAGTGGAATAGTTTGAAAAGCGATGTAGTGGAGGCAGGATCCATACATAGCTTTAAGCAGAGGTATGATAAAGCTCACGGTTCATGGAGAGTGACCTAGTAGCGACCAGTGAAGAGGCGGGGCCAGGAGCTTGGACTCAACCCCTGCAACCTCAACTAGGTGAGAACACACACACACACACACACATGCTGAGAGGAACTGACAAGGTGGACAAAGACAGGATGTTCCAGAGATGGGACACAGCAACAAGGGGACACAGTTGGAAGTTGAAGACACAGATGAATCACAGGGATGTTAGGAAGTATTTCTTCAGCCATAGGGTTGACAGGAAGTTGAATAGTCTGGCAAGTGATGTAGTGGAGGCAGGATCCATACACAGCTTTAAGAAGAAGTATGATAAAGCTCATAGAGCAGGGAGAGTTACCTAGCAGAGACCAGTGAAGAGGCGGGGCCAGGAAAGATGACTCGACTCCTGCAACCAGAATTAGGTAAGTACAGCGCCTCGGGTTGGATTCCTATCTACTTAAAAGTGAATTTAGTTAAAATTGTTAATTGTTTCTTTTCCCCGAGACTAACTTTGTTAATTTTGTTCTTGTTTTTGCTGTTGTTCTTGTCGATGTTGTTGTTATTGTTGCTGTTGACTTTCATACATGTATCAGTGGAGGTTCAGTGGTTCTCCTGGTTAACACAGTTACATGTATCAGTGGAGGTTCAGTGGTTCTCCTGGTTAACACAGTTACATGTATCAGTGGAGGTTCAGTGGTTCTCCTGGTTAACACAGTTACATGTATCAGTGGAAGTTCAGTGGTTCTCCTGGGTAACACAGTTACATGTATCAGTAGAAGTTCAGTGGTTCTCCTGGGTAACACAGTTACATGTATCAGTGGAAGTTCAGTGGTTCTCCTGGGTAACACAGTTACATGTATCAGTGGAAGTTCAGTGGTTCTCCTGGGTAACACAGTTACATGTATCAGTGGAAGTTCAGTGGTTCTCCTGGGTAACACAGTTACATGTATCAGTGGAAGTTCAGTGGTTCTCCTGGGTAACACAGTTACATGTATCAGTGGAAGTTCAGTGGTTCTCCTGGGTAACACAGTTACATGTATCAGTGGAAGCTCAGTGGTTCTCCTGGGTAACAGTTACATGTATCAGTGGAAGTTCAGTGGTTCTCCTGGGTAACACAGTTACATGTATCAGTGGAAGTTCAGTGGTTCTCCTGGGTAACACAGTTACATGTATCAGTGGAAGCTCAGTGGTTCTCCTGGGTAACAGTTACATGTATCAGTGGAAGTTCAGTGGTTCTCCTGGGTAACACAGTTACATGTATCAGTGGAAGTTCAGTGGTTCTCCTGGGTAACAGTTACATGTATCAGTGGAAGTTCAGTGGTTCTCCTGGGTAACACAGTTACATGTATCAGTGGAAGTTCAGTGGTTCTCCTGGGTAACACAGTTATATGTATCAGTGGAAGTTCAGTGGTTCTCCTGGGTAACACAGTTACATGTATCAGTGGAAGTTCAGTGGTTCTCCTCTGTAACACAGTTACATGTATCAGTGGAAGTTCAGTGGTTCTCCTGGGTAACACAGTTACATGTATCAGTGGACGTTCAGTGGTTCTCCTGGGTAACACAGTTACATGTATCAGTGGAAGTTCAGTGGTTCTCCTGGGTAACACAGTTATATGTATCAGTGGAAGTTCAGTGGTTCTCTTGGGTAACACAGTTATATGTATCAGTGGAAGTTCAGTGGTTCTCTTGGGTAACACAGTTATATGTATCAGTGGAAGTTCAGTGGTTCTCTTGGGTAACACAGTTATATGTATCAGTGGAAGTTCAGTGGTTCTCTTGGGTAACAGTTACATGTATCATTGCAAGTTCAGTGGTTCTCCAGGGTAACACAGTTCTATGTATCAGTGGAAGTTCAGTGGTTCTCCTCTGTAACACAGTTACATGTATCAGTGGAAGTTCAGTGGTTCTCCTGGGTAACACAGTTACATGTATCAGTGGAAGTTCAGTGGTTCTCCTCTGTAACACAGTTACATGTATCAGTGGAAGTTCAGTGGTTCTCCTCTGTAACACAGTTACATGTATCAGTGGAAGTTCAGTGGTTCTCCTGGGTAACACAGTTACATGTATCAGTGGAAGTTCAGTGGTTCTCCTCTGTAACACAGTTACATGTATCAGTGGAAGTTCAGTGGTTCTCCTCTGTAACACAGTTACATGTATCAGTGGAAGTTCAGTGGTTCTCCTGGGTAACACAGTTACATGTATCAGTGGAAGTTCAGTGGTTCTCCTGGGTAACACAGTTACATGTATCAGTGGAAGTTCAGTGGTTCTCCTGCATAACACAGTTACATGTATCAGTGGACGTTCAGTGGTTCTCCTGGGTAACACAGTTACATGTATCAGTGAAAGTTCAGTGGTTCTCTTGGGTAACACAGTTACATGTATCAGTGGAGGTTCACTGGTTCTCCTGGGTAACACAGTTACATGTATCAGTGGAGGTTCAGTGGTTCTCCTGGGTAACACAGTTACATGTATCAGTGGAAGTTCAGTGGTTCTCCTGCATAACACAGTTACATGTATCAGTGGACGTTCAGTGGTTCTCCTGGGCAACACAGTTACATGTATCAGTGAAAGTTCAGTGGTTCTCTTGGGTAACACAGTTACATGTATCAGTGGAGGTTCAGTGGTTCTCCTGGGTAACACAGTTACATGTATCAGTGAAAGTTCAGTGGTTCTCTTGGGTAACACAGTTACATGTATCAGTGGAGGTTCAGTGGTTCTCCTGGTTAACACAGTTACATGTATCAGTGGAGGTTCAGTGGTTCTCCTGGTTAACACAGTTACATGTATCAGTGGAGGTTCAGTGGTTCTCCAGGGTAACACAGTTACATTTATCAGTGGAGGTTCAGTGGTTCTCCTGGGTAACACAGTTACATGTATCAGTGGAGGTTCAGTGGTTCTCCTGGGTAACACAGTTACATGTATCAGTGGGGTTCAGTGGTTCTCCTGGTTAACACAGTTACATGTATCAGTGGAGGTTCAGTGGTTCTCCTGGTTAACACAGTTACATGTATCAGTGGAGGTTCAGTGATTCTCCTGGTTAACACAGTTACATGTATCAGTGGAGGTTCAGTGGTTCTCCTGGTTAACACAGTTACATGTATCAGTGGAGGTTCAGTGGTTCTCCTGGTTAACACAGTTACATGTATCAGTGGAGGTTCAGTGGTTCTCCTGGTTAACACAATTACATGTATCAGTGGAAGTTCAGTGGTTCTCCAGGGTAACACAGTTACATGTATCAGTGGAAGTTCAGTGGTTCTCCAGGGTAACACAGTTACATGTATCAGTGGAGGTTCAGTGGTTCTCCTGGGTAACACAGTTACATGTATCAGTGGAGGTTCAGTGGTTCTCCTGGTTAACACAGTTACATGTATCAGTGGAGGTTCAGTGGTTCTCCTGGTTAACACAGTTACATGTATCAGTGGAGGTTCAGTGATTCTCCTGGTTAACACAGTTACATGTATCAGTGGAGGTTCAGTGGTTCTCCTGGTTAACACAGTTACATGTATCAGTGGAGGTTCAGTGGTTCTCCTGGTTAACACAGTTACATGTATCAGTGGAGGTTCAGTGGTTCTCCTGGTTAACACAATTACATGTATCAGTGGAAGTTCAGTGGTTCTCCAGGGTAACACAGTTACATGTATCAGTGGAAGTTCAGTGGTTCTCCAGGGTAACACAGTTACATGTATCAGTGGGGGTTGAGTGGATCTCCTGGGTAACTCACCCACAGTGTATCTCGTCACCCCACAGGTAAACCGGCACCCAGGGTCACCTGGTGGATGAAGGGCGAGATGATAGATGACACATACGAGTCCCTAGGTGCACACACGGTGACCAACACACTCACCCTGGTGGGACTCTCTCGTGCACACCTCCACGCCGTCCTGGTGTGCACGGCGTCCAACAGTAACCACACTGCTGCCGTCCACACCTCCATCACCATCGAGATGAACTGTGAGTATTCTATTTTAATTATGAGTACTAACGTGATTAATTCTGGGTACCAACGTGGTTAATTCTGGGTACCAACGTGGTTAATTCTGGGTACCAACGTGGTTAATTCTGGGTACCAATGTGGTTAATTCTGGGTACCAATGTGGTTAATTCTGGGTACGAATGTGGTTAATTCTGGGTGCCAATGTGGTTAATTCTGGGTACCAACGTGGTTAATTCTGGGTACAATGTGGTTAATTCTGGGTACCAATGTGGTTAATTCTGGGTACCTACGTGGTTAGTTCTGGATACCAACGTTGTTAATTCTGGGTACCAATGTGGTTAATTCTAGGTACCAACGTGGTTAATTCTGGGTACCAACGTGGTTAATTCTGGGTACCAATGTGGTTAATTCTGGGTACCAATGTGGTTAATTCTGGGTACCAATGTGGTTAATTCTAGGTACCAACGTGGTTAATTCTGAGTACCAACGTGGTTAATTCTGGGTACCAGTGTGGTTAATTCTGAGTACCAACAGTTAATTCTGGGTACCAACGTGGTTAATTCTGAGTACCAGCACGATTAATTTTGAGTACCAACACGATTAATTTTGAGTACCAACACGATTAATTTTGAGTACCAGCACGATTAATTATGAGTACCAACACGATTAATTTTGAGTGGCCTGGTGGTCCGTGGCCTGGTGGTCCGTGGCCTGGTGGCTAAAGCTCTCTCTTCACAAGGCGGATGTCCGGGTTCGATTCCTGGCGAGGGTTGAAACATTGGACGTGTTTCTTTACACCGGTTGTCTATGTTCACACATCAGTAAAGTGGGTACTTGGGTGTTAGTGGACTGGTGTGAGTCGCATCCTGGGTGTTAGTGGACTGGTGTGGGTCGCATCCTGGGACAAAACTGACTTAATTTGCGGGAAATGCTCAGCATAACAAGCGGCTTTCTATATAGTAGTATGTCAGTGATGTCAGCTATGGTCTGTATACCTTGTACATGTACTGGTAGTAAATAATTATATTATTATTATAATTATTATTATTATTATTATTATTATTATTATTATTATTATTATTGTATGCTACATATATCCTGTTGATATATTAATTTATTATATATTTTTAATGTGGCGACATTTCGCTCTCCAGGAACTATGTCGAGCCGTTAAGGCGTGACAAAGCTCCTGTAGAGCGAAACGTTGCCGCAATAAAATGTCAAATTAGCAGCATCTGTGTCCACTTACCTAACATTTCGTGGGTAATTCTACCAACATTAATTTTAAAATATTGATTATGTTGTAACTTGGCGTAACTTAAGTTACAGTGTCCTCATAAATGATCTGTAATGTTTATAATTAACTATGATTATTCTAATTATTTGTAGTAATTGTCTCATTAGTTCGTAAAGAAAATGAACATCTTACCTCACTTGAACACAATTAGTAAACACTTGAAGCAGACGTCTTCTCTTCTTCCTAAGTTCTCCATGTTTCTCTGTTCCAAATTCTCTTACCTGGTGTTTAGTGAATATTATAAAGTACACTTTACCCGGTATACACAATAGACATGACTTCTCAAATCTATCCATATACATTTTCCCAACCTATTTTTATGCTACCCAGTTCATAGCTTTTGTAATCTTTCTGACTCACGAAATCGTAATGACGCGATTGTAAACAAACCCCATCCGTGGTATGGTTGGTTTTTCTGTAACCTATCTGTCTAATGTACCAGCAGATTTTTCCACCAAATGTGTAACTACTACTACCACTAGTATTATACCTCACTGTAACGGCTTGACAAAGCTCCTGGAGAGCGAAACGTTGCCACATTGTTGCATTTGTGTTCTTTTACTTAATAATTAATTTCCTATAATTCTTACTGGCTTGTCTCTATATCTCTCGTCCAGAAGAAGGATACATACTTTATGTTAATTCATATGTATCTTTCTTCATGGATATATTGAACAAGTTAACGTATCACTGTAAAACTGTATCCACACCATCTGTCAGCATGTCAGTCTTAATTCCAGCTGCTTCACCACCTTCCATCCTCACCACCTGCTTCATACATGTCTTCCACACACTCACCTCTGACACACCTCAATACGTAATGTCACCTTCTCTTCATCAATTCAATACATGATATTCAACACCTTCCTTTCATCAGTAATATGTAACATCTTAGAATCTTCTCTCCATCGATGCCTCTACTCCTACCCCCGTCCAACATTTCTACTACCTCATTCTTGATTGGCAATTTAAATTGCTTCCCCAAGGTTTTCCCAACATAAAATCTTACCAAACTGTTTCTCATTCTCAGCAAAATTTAATGATGAAATCTCACCCATTCTTTCACTTTCTCTTAGTTCGCACTTCTGTTTTTTTTTTAAACTCTCGTATCTCTGCATATATTCTATTTAAGATATATCGTAAAACCTTGGATATGTAATCGTTATCCCTTAATCACTCTTACCTCATTCCACTAACCATTTCTCTCTTCACAAACACCTGCCCCCTCCTTCCTATTAACAACAAACCTCTATTAAATATACAATCAGTGTATTCTTACAGCTACACTATACTTCCTCAGCCTCCTTTTTAATCACTGTCACTTTGAACACTTGATCATACCTCCCACTAACTTTTCACTTCTCTCTTTCCTACTGACACAATTTTCCTTCTTTTTCCTTGTGCTGTTATTACCCCCTTCATAAAGGTGGCAGTGAAGCAATTGCAAAGAATTACAGACCGATAGCACTAACGTCCCACATCATGAAAAATCTTTGAGAGGGTTGTAAGAAGCAAGATCACCGCCCACTTAGAGACCCATCAGTTACACAATCCAGGGCAACACGAGTTTAGGGCAGGTCGCTCCTACCTGTCCCAGCTACTGGACCACTATGACAAGGTCCTGGATGCTATAGAGGTTAAACAATATGCAGATGTAGTATACAGAGACTAAGCGAAAGTCTTCGATAAGAGCGCCCATGGTGTAATAGCACACAAAATGCGTGATAAAGGAATAATAGCAAACGTGAGTAGATGGATTTGTAATTTCCTAACAAACAGAACACAGAGTAATAGTAAACAGAGTAAAGTTTATGGCTATAGTGAAAAGCTCTGTTCCACAAGGTACAGTACTCTCCCCCATCCTGTTCCTCATCCTCATATCTGACATAGACAGAGATGAAAGCCACAGCACCGTGTCTTCCTTTGCGGATGACACCCGAGTGTGCATGACAGTGTCCTCCATCGAAGACACTGCAAGTCTCCAAGCGGACATCAACCAAATCTTTGAATGGGCTGCAGAAAACATTAAGTTCAGTGAAGAGAAATTTCAGTTACTCCGATATGGGAAACTCGAGGAAATTAAAATCCAACCACACAATAGTGTAAAACTAAAGTGAAGGACCTGGGAGTGATAATGTAAAAGGATCTCACTATCAGAGATCACAACGATGTATCTATCACATCTAGGAAAATTAGAAAAGATGGATAATAAGAACCTTAAAAACTAGGAAAGCCAAGCCCATAATTATCTTCAAATTGCTTGTTCTTTCTAGGCTGGAATATTGCTGTACTATAACGGCCCCTTTCAAGGCAGACGAAATGCGGACCTGGAGAATGTACAGAGAACTTTCACGGTACGTATAGGTACGATAAGGCACCTAAATTACCGGAAAGAATGAAGTCCGTTGATTTGTACTCCTTGGAACGCAGGCAAAAAAGATATATGATAATATACACTTGGAAAATCCTAGAGGGACTAGTCTCAAATTGACACACGAATATCACTCCCTACAAAAGCAAAAGACTCGGCAGGAGATGCAACATTCCCCCAATGAAAAGCAGGAGCGCCACGAGTACGCTAAGAGACAACACAATAAGTGTCAGGGGCCCAAGACTGTTCATCTGCCTCCCAGCATAAGGGGGATTATCAATAGACCCATGGATGTCTTCAAGAAGGCACTGGACAGGCACCTGAAGTTAGTACCTGATCAGCCGGGCTGTAGTTCTGCATCTGTTTGCATGCGGACAGCAGTAACAGCCTGGTTGATCAGACCCTGATCTACCACGAGTCCTGGTCTCAGACCGAGCCGCGGGGGCGTTGACCCCCAGAACCCTCTCCAGGTTTACTTCAGGTATGTACATATGTATATGCTTCAATCTGATAAACTCTACGTTTCTCACAACCCACATTTCACTAAGCTGACCAGGAATGATTCACCTCAGTGTATCAGTGTATGATGGCCTGTTACTGGCGTAGTCTAGCTGGTTGTCACTTCTCAGTGTGATGACCTGTTACTGGCGTAGTCTAGCTGGTTGTCACTTCTCAGTGTGATAACCTGTTACTGGCGTAGTCTAGCTGGTTGCCACTTCTCAGTGTGATGACCTGTTACTGGCGTAGTCTAGCTGGTTGTCACTTCTCAGTGTGATGACCTGTTACTGGCGTAGTCTAGCTGGTTGTCACTTCTCAGTGTGATGACCTGTTACTGGCATAGTCTAGCTGGTTCTCACTTCTCAGTGTGATGACCTGTTACTGGCAGAGTCTAGCTGGTTGTCACTTCTCAGTGTGATGACCTGTTACTGGCGTAGTCTAGCTGGTTGTCACTTCTCAGTGTGATGACCTGTTACTGGCGTAGTCTAGCTGGTTGTCACTTCTCAGTGTGATGACCTGTTACTGGCGTAGTCTAGCTGGTTGCCACTTCTCAGTGTGATGACCTGTTACTGGCGTAGTCTAGCTGGTTGTCACTTCTCAGTGTGATGACTGTTACTGGCGTAGTCTAGCTGGTTGTCACTTCTCAGTGTGATGACCTGTTACTGGCGTAGTCTAGCTGGTTGTCACTTCTCAGTGTGATGACCTGTTACTGGCGTAGTCTAGCTGGTTGCCACTTCTCAGTGTGATGACCTGTTACTGGCGTAGTCTAGCTGGTTGTCACTTCTCAGTGTGATGACCTGTTACTGGCGTAGTCTAGCTGGTTGTCACTTCTCAGTGTGAAAGACCTGTTA